CCAATATTTTTGTCTTGTTGTGCATGTCGAGAGTTGTGCAGCGAGCCCGTTGGTGAACATCACCGTTGAGGTTCCGGGCTTCACTCGTGCAAAGAATTTCTGATGTTCTTCCTTTATGTTTTTTTCTTTCTATTAAAAAAAACAAATTCCAGGAAAAACAACTGTCAGTTCCGTCGTTTTCTACTTCAGAAGTAATAAGAAGAGATCTTTTTGAAAGATCGCGACCCTCATCATGACTGAATCTCGCCTGCAAGAACCCTACCATACAGACTGCACTTACCGTTGAGGTTCTGACAGGTTGGACGCGCCGGGCGACACTCATGCAAAGAAATTCTTTTTTTTTTTTTTTTTCACAAAACAGGTTTCATATATTAATAAACATTCGAGGCCGGGTACCTCACATTCTTCCCGGAAGAAACAATACTGAGAGCATTACTCAGCTTCGCTTTCGAGAGTACCATCGCCTCATAAGGGGGGTAACTCGACCATCAAACTCCTTCAAGAATACATACCTGCTCTACGTGTCCTACCAACTAATTCTCTATCCTAGCTAGAACTACAATAACAGGCCTATAAGCGGCCTGACATCGGCCCAACCCCGACCGACTGGAGCACTCGGCTCCGTAGATTCTGTGGCACTCTACCACCCTCCTCCCCTACTGGCCTACTGTGGCCCTTAATCAAACCGAGTGCCCTGGTAATTGAATAAAAGAATCCAACTTGGCCCTAAAATCCCTACAAACCATAAAACCCCATAATACCGGTACCTACCCACCCTTCCTATACTAACCTACTCTATCCCACCAACTTGAAAACAGCAGTGAGCCCTCACTGGAAGTGTCCAACACATTCTCCTTCTGGCACCAGGTTTTTCTGGACCAATTCCACCCTTCCCTACTCCTGCCACCCTTGGCTTTTCTTCGCCAATCCGCCCGAATCTCATCCTTCAGAAGGTTTTTGAACAGACGTTCTGCATGTCCTTCCTGCAACCCACACCCTTTGAATCGCAATTCATTCCGATCGGTCCAGATCACCCATAGCATGACAGCTCTGCAAACCTGAGCCACATACCCCCAACCACTTTCTGCTGAAAGACCTTCAGGGAGGTCGCCTAAAAGAACCCATCTTTCTCCAGCAAAGTCATCCCTTCCAGACCAAAACTTCCAATGTGCCAACCACCAATCCCACCACTTACGCGACTTTGGGCATGCCCACCACAGATGGTGCAGGGTCTCATACACCCACAGGCAACGGTCGCATGCTTCTTTCACATTCATGCTTCTGCTTTTTAACCATCTGGCAACAGGGATAGCTAGGTGTGACTGAAGCCACAGTAAGGATGAAAGCTTCTGGGAAGGCAACTTTTTTAACTGTTTCCACAGAGTTTTCAGCTCCCTTTCTGATGGCGGATCTAAATGGGGAAACATCTTTGCCCATTTGACTGACACCTCTTTCTGAACCCTCTCTTCCCTATTGAAATCCTTCTTCCGCCTCCCTCCTTCCTTATTATCAAGACCCCATATAACGCTCTCTTCTGATTGCCATCCCCAAGCCTGAAGATCTAGCCTCAGGTCAGTACAAGGCATTCCTCCTGCCAACAGCTTACCTGAAGATGGGAGCCTTTCCTGCGAGTCCTGATCAGCCACACCCGCTACTCGAACCTCCAGGAGGTTTGATACCCCATAATTGACTACCGTAGCCACCTCCCTCAGTTCCGGAAGGCCCGGCACCACTCTTGTATGGATTGACAGTGTGCACTTCCCTGGAACTGTAGGGTCCCACTCATCCAGCCTCAAAATTTCTTCCTGTCGATCGTCCCTTCTTTTGAACCAGGTCCCCAAGGCAGGAACCTGTTCAGGACTTAACAGCCGGGCCCAATCGGCCGGGATTGCATTCTTGATCTCCCGCAAACGCTCGTCCTGATGGTTGAGTCTTCCTAGTTTGGTTTTGATCTCCTCTTTACTTCTCCACTGGCCCCTATTCTCGTCCCACAGGTCTCCTACTGTGGATACGCCCCGCTGCATCCATTTCATTCCGTACTAGCCTGGCTGCGTGGACGCACTAAAAGGGGTTCCAGATGTATCACACAACTTCGGATTCTCAAAGAGGTGCTGGCTCAGAACATCTTCCTTGGAAACCGGGTCCTTCCTCAGCTCTGGTCTGCAGCTCCTCCAGGCGCCAATGATGTCTTTCCAAAATTTAGACTTGATACGTTTAGAAAGGAAAGACTGAATCATAATGGCCACCCAGACATCAGAACTTCTCGATAAAGCCCACTGTTCACAAAGAAGTTCCTCCGCCAGCAAGCACCAGTCTGATTTCTGATCTGCCTCAGCAACCCTGATTATCCATGAGGACAACATCTTCAAATTCTGAGACTCGGGGTCCAGAAGGCCCAGGCCACCTTTTTCACGAGGGGCACATAACGTCTCCCACGCCACTTTAGAGATATAACCTTCATCCTCTTTAGCACTGGGCTTCTAGATAAATTTCCTGGCTGCAGACTTCACCCCCTTCAGCAAAGGCTTCGATAAACGCCTGCAAAGAAATTCTGATTTTCTTCCCTTACATTTTTTTCTTTTTATTAAAAAAAAAATTCCAGGAAAAACGGCGGGCTGGGGGGACAGTCCAACAACAAAATTAAAGAACCGACTTCCCCCCCCCAGACTTCGAATCAGGTTTGGACTGCTAAAAAAAAAAAAGAAGTACGGGCCTTCGCGCGGCCTCCAAAAACATTTCCGCGCCCGTTTTCGTAATTTTCCTAGGACCCCCCCGAACCCCGAAAACCGAACCGACAAAATTTTTTTTTTTTGGTACCCTGCAATTTCGACCATGCGCCGCGCGTCGTGCGTGCGCCACTTGCGCGCTGCGGTCTGCGCCGCACGTGCGCAAGTGCCGCGCACGACGTGCGCCGCAAGTATGGAATTTACTCTTTTGCTGAAAATCGAACCTTTATCCTACGTTGCCTAGATCTCACTCATTGCATTGTCCGTACAATGCCTCACTGATAACAGATCGACAGATATACAAAAAAAAAAAAAAAAGGGGTGATCCGCTTCTTTTATTTTTTTATTTTTTTTATTCTGTTGATTAGGACCGGCATGGAAATTGCAGTTTGATTGGTTGCCTGCGTTTCCCTCCCACCCAGCCCCCTGCCTGTTTTCTCGGTAAGTGCCACGTCAGCAGGCCACGCCAGTTGTGCCACGTCAGTTGCAGGCCATGTCAGCAGTGCCACGACAAATGGTGCCACGTCAGCAGGCCACGTCAGTAGCAGTGCCATGACAACAGGGCCACGTCAGCAGTACCGCATCATCAACATCGTACAACTAACTGCAGCTTATGCTCGACGCAGCAACCACATCGCCGCACGAGAAGGGCGGGCAGCCGCAGCAGAACAGCAGCTACCTCTGCCCCACCCCTCTGACATGGACTCCCAGGGCAACCCCACGGTGGACAATGCCGCATCCGGCAGCCCACACGAGGCATGCAGTTCGAACCCCCCGGCCCCACAGGCCCAACAGAAGGGTTCCACTGCGACTTCTGCGGGAACCCTCGACGCTGCGCCAGTCCGGCAGCAAGGAGAGACCATGACGGCCTTCCTGGCCCTCCTGGGCACCTATATGCAGCAAGTCCAAGAGGAGCAGCAACGCGAGGCGGCAGCCGAAGCAGCACGCCTTAATGCCATTGCACACGCAGAAGAGCAACGACGCTGGCAGCAAGCTGACGCAGCTGCCAACCACAACAAAGCTCGAAGAGATGCCGCATCTGTCCTCATGCAGCAGGAAGCCGCTCATACCGCCGCACTCCAAGCATGGCATGTTGATCCGGCGGAAACGACGGAACCAATTACGGAGGACCAGACTAAGTCAACTCTCGCCAGCATGATGCACCAAGTCATCCTCACTTGTAACTGGCAACAAGTGGAGCTGGTTCGACAGGCATGTACCATTACTGAGTACGAGGAGACTCTCAAGAGCCTCCACGCCCGCCTTGACATGCTGGAGAAGGATGACGTGCCGCACAGGCACACGCCATCGTCAAGCATGGATCCACCAATCCGCGAGCTGGAAGGACAGCTGGATCACCTAGTCGCGCTTGTTGGCAATTTGAACAGCTTCCGACACCCGACGACAATTAGCCAGTAAATAGCCGCCCTACAAGCGGATCTGCGTCAACTGCGGCAGCAACCCACAGGGACCTACAACAATGTGACGCCGAAACAATTTAAGATGTCGAAGTTCAGCATCAGCAAATTTGATGACTACCACAAGGCGGACCCCATCAGTTGGTGGCAAGGGTTCACCAATGAGCTCTCCATCCACTTAGTCCCGCCCGAGTCAAAGATCTCAGCGCTTTACCTTTGCAGCACCGGTGCCAGCCAAGTGTGGCTCAACACTTGGCTCAAACCGAGGGCGTCGAAGTCTCTAAGCTTCACACCAAGATCACTTGGGAGGCCATGACTGATAAGTGGCGGAAACGCTTCATCGTCGACGACGGTCAGGGCAAAGGCGTGATTCAGAACCGGATCTTCAGCATGCATCAAGGCAGCCAGCCAACACACGAATGGCTAACCGAGTGGCAGAAAATCGTGACGATGCCGAATTTGGACATCTCATTCGTACATCTTCGTCGCGAATTCTTCCAGCGGTCAGTTGACGCGTTGAGCACGGTCTCTGGGGAGTGCTGCCAGTACACGGACTTCGACCAGATTGTTGAGAAGGCGCGCGAAGTCATCCAAACCAATCGGTGGGCAGCCAACGAGCGGCGAAACCAACCGAATTTTGTGGAAAAGGGCAAAGGCCTGCGGCCGCAGCAAGTCGTTGTTGTCCAAGGAAATGGACAAGAGAATGATCAGGCGATGACTCACGATTCTAGTGAAGGAGACAGAGTCAACGCCCTTCCGCCATGACGCAACAACAACAACAACAACAAGAAGGCGAAATATGTGTCAACAACGGAAGTCGGACAGCCGAATGAGCCATGGAAGAAGTTCAACCTCAGGGAGGAGCAATACAAACTCCGCTAGACTCTGAGGTGGAATTGTTACTACTGGTGCAACAACACCAAGCATACGACATCGCAATGCCCTCACAAAGGCAAAGAAGACGTCTGTCCACGGCAAAGCTCGGGAAACTGAGCTTCGCGGGAAGTGAGGCGACTCCACTTCCTACTCCGCCGGACACGGTTGCCTTGCTAACAACCTCCGCCACGTCCGGGGAACATGCGTATGTCGCCAATCTTCGCGAAGATTATGAAGACTTTGCTGTCCAGCTGGTCCCGCCATTGGACCAACCTCTCCACGTGCAAGACTCATTTGCGTGTGCGACTTCATCACCATCGCCAAGTGAACCAGCATCCTTGCCAACATCACTCGGGGACTTGTCGGTGTGGTCTAGACTTGAGGAACTCGATCCATTGACACCGGAGGACTTCCAATGGTTGCCTTTTCCCCCATCTGGTTCCTTTCCGAAGCCACATTGCAATGCTCTAATGGCGAAGCTACGCAACTACTTGCACGCTGCAGTACCAGCTTCATTGATGGAAGACGGAGTAGCGGTTGTTGACCTTCGCGAGTACATTGCGAAGATTGACCGCGAGTATGCCACGCAACGGTACGACGACACCGACGCCCCGTTACTCTACATCCGCATTCAGATCGGGAAGGCGACCTGCAGCACCTTAATTGATTGTGGAGCTACTCGCAACTACATCAACCAGGATTTCATGACCCGCGCCGGCCTTGGGCCGCGCGTTCGAAGGAAATCACAGACCACGCAAGTCACGTTGGCCGACGGTCGTACGCACAAGTCCATTGACTGGTGCATTGACTCCGTTCCTGTGTACTTCGCCCCGCTTGCACGCAAGGCCGTGTCCTATGACATATTGGACACAAAGTTCGACATGATCTTGGGCATGTCATGGATGCGCAGCGAGGACCATCCGGTGAACTTCTACCGCCGCACCGTTCACGTTCGTGACTGGAACGGGGTACTTGTGCCATGTACGGTCCCCCCACCTCATCCTTCGATTGGTTGTCACGTGGTCTCCACGGCGAGCATTCGCAACTCCATCGCACGGAACGACGTGGAGGAAATGGGCATTTGTTTCTTGCACGCCCTCCCTCCTCCCGACAAGCCAGCGGTGGAACAGCCACCGGATCCACGCATTGTACAGCTTCTTGACTCCTATGGCGACTTCTTTGAAGCCCCCGCCAGAATCGTACCGAATCGGCCAATTCGTCACGAGATCATCCTCGAAGACGGGGTCGTACCTCCGCGCGGATGTATTTACCGCATGAGCGAGGAGGAACTCGAAGTGCTTTGAACGCACTCGATGACCTCATTGACAAGGGTTGGATTCGCCCTAGCTGCTCGCCCTACGGTGCACCTGTTCTCTTCATTCGGAAGAAGAACAAGGAGTTGCGCTTATGCATTGACTATCGCAAGCTCAATGCTCAAACCATTAAGAATGTCGGTCTGCTTCCACGCATCGACGATCTTCTCGAACGCTTGGGCGGCGCCAAGTATTTCTCCAAGTTAGACCTCAAGGCCGGTTACCACCAGCTTGAGATCCATCCAAGAGATAGGTACAAAGCCGCGTTCAAGACACGGTACGAGCACTTCAAGTGGGTCGTAATGCCATTCGGCCTCACGAATGCCCCGGCTACCTTCCAAGCGGCAATGACAACGGAGTTTCGCGACATGTTGGACCGGTTCGTGCTCATCTACCTCGATGACATCTTGGTGTATAGCCGCACTTTGGATGAGCACATCGTGCATCTACGTGTTGTTTTGGACAGGCTACGTACGACCAAGTACAAGGTCAATCGAGCCAAGTGCGAATTCGCACAGGGCCACTTTGTGACGCCGCAAGGCATCCGTCCGCTTGCGGACAAGATTAAGGTCATTCAGGATTGGCCGGAACCGACCAACACCATGGAGGTTCGCTCTTTTATAGGATTGGTCGGGTACTACCAATGCTTCATCGGAGGATACGCACGGATCATCGCACCTTTGTCCAGATTGCACTCTCCGCAGGTGCCCTCCCAGTTCACCGACGTAGTCCGCAGTTCGTTCCACAAATTGAAGACGGCGTTGTTCCTCGCTCCCGTCTTGAGTATCTACGATCCCACCTTGCCTACAAGACTCAACGAGAGTGACTACGGACGCTTCCGACTACGGCATGGGCGCAGTTTTGGAACAACACGACGGAGTAGACTGGCATCCGGTTTAGTACTTCAGCCAAAAGGTGCCTCCCATCAACTCCGTTGATGATGCGTGGAAGAAGGAGTTGCTCGCGTTCGTCATGGTACTCGAGCGTTGGCGACACTTCCTCCTTGGGCGTCGTAGGTTCACTTGGGTGACAGATAATAACCCATTGACCTACTACAAGACGCAAGACAAAGTGAGCAGCACGATTGCTCAGTGGATGTACTTCATCGATCAGTTCGACTTCACACTGAAACACATTATGGGCCTCTGCAACCGAGCCACGGATGCTCTCTCGCGAAGATCAGATCTTTGCGCAGTGACTCACCACGCGTTCAGTTTCGACGAAGCCCTTCATCAGCATTTTGTGTGAGCATACAAGTCCGATCCGGAATACGCCACGCTCTACGAGCAACTATCCTCGGATCACCCATCGACCAGTCACTATCGCGTCGTCGATGGCTACTTGCTTCTTCACTCACACGGCAAGGACTTACTATGCGTCCCACATGAACGTCGCCTACGGACTCGCCTCCTCGGAGAGTGCCACGACTCGAGACTCGCTGGCCACCTCGGAGTCAATCGTACAATCGCAAGACTTCGGCAGCGATTCCGGTGGCCCGACCTCGTTACCGACATCACTCGGTATTGCGACTCTTGCGAAGTTTGTCGACGAAGCAAACCCCGCAATCGCAACCCCTACGGTGAGTTACGCTCGTTGCCTATTCCATGGGAACCTGACCTCTCCATTGCCATGGACGTCACTCGCCCGTTTCTCCGGGACCGCTTCGGGCACGACGGCATTCTCACGGTCGTTGACTGATTGAGCAAGTACGCATGATTTCTTCCCTCCAAGTACTACGCCACAGCTCCTGAACTTGCGCGCCTCTTACACACCGGCTGGATTTGCGGCCACGGCGTTCTAGAAGACATCGTCAGCAACCGCGACACTCGGTTCATGTCGGCATTTTGGACCTCTCTCATGCAAGAGTCCGGCACCGAGATGAAACCAAGTTCGGTTCGACATCCGCAAACGGACGGGCAGACGGAGCGGGCACATCAAACCACTCAAGTAATGCTTCGCACACTCATCCGTACGGACCAAAAGGATTGGGTGGACCGCCTCCTCGACATCGAATTCGCCTACAACACTTCGGTGCACCCGGCGATCGGCGTGACTCCGTTCGAGTTACACCACAGTGGTTGGAAAGACCGCATCTTCGCTGATCTTCCTTTTCCAAGGACTGCCGATATTGACGCCGCTTGTTCACCCGCCTCCGTTCAGAAGATAGGGACTTGCTGGCTAAAGCCTGCGCCAACATGCAAAAGGCTCAAGTCTGCATGCAACAGCAAGCTAACAGGCGTCGCGTGCCATGCCCCATCCGCATCGGCGACCTTGTTTGGGTCTCCACGAAAGAGTTTGCACTCGAGCAGGATGTATCCCGCAAGCTACTTCCAAAGTGGTTTGGACCATGGCCCGTCACATCAGCCGCGGGTGATGAACCCGATGGCCCCTCATTTGTGATTGAAATCCCGCGGCATCTCACGGTGCACCCGGTTTTCCACGCCTCCAAGCTGGCCACATATACACCAGCCAAGAGCAACGACTTCCCGGGACGACGATCACATGACCCTCCTTCCATGGATGGTCATCAGGAAGTCGACCGCGTCATCACGCATCGCAAGCACGACAACAAGCCTATGCAGTACAAAGTCACATTCAAGTGGTGCGACCCCGATGACACGCGATGGATTTCCCGGGCAACTTTGCGAGCCTCCGTGCCTGACATCTATGCTCATTACGAGAAGAAACGGCTAGCGACGGAAGCTGCACAGCCTCCCACCCGGACTTCAGTCCCTCCCTCCACCAGACAGCTTCGCCCTCGCAGGTAAGCTCGGTCTTTCAAGGAGGGGGGAGTGTGGCATACTCCGTACCACATGGGCCCAGCAGAGCCCGACCTGGTAGACTAAGGGTCCGCAGGAGTAGAGCCTGTGTCGTTTCAGCATAAAAGCCTGAAACGAGGGCCTACAGGCCCTGTGTCGTTTCGGCCTCCAGCCTGAAAACGACGGGCCATTTTTCAGGCCCTCGCAAGATCGACCTACCCTGAAACTCAGGCACCAGACCGGGGTTTTAGCTCAGGCCATCATGGCCTATTTTGTGGAGCGTCAACCCCAGGGTCTGGCACGTTTTGGCATAGGCACAAGCAGCCTCTCGGACGGGCCAGCACGATATAATGCTGACCCGCCCTGTAGGCTGCAGGCAGTTCCCAGGCACTTCACGTGCAGAGGGCAGGAGGTAGTCTTCAGGACTCAGCAGCGGCACTCTGGAGGAGTGGTAGCGGTAGCAGTAGTCTTCAGCGCTGGGCACTAGTAGAGAGAGAGAGAGATGGTTGGCGGAGGCCAGGGAGACTCACCTGCGGCGCCATAGCTCCAGCTTCGTCTTCGATGTACCTGCAGCCAGACGCCACCTTTACAGGTTAGTATCGGCCGGAGAGAGAGAGAGAGAGAGAGAGAGAGAGAGAGAGAGAGANTCAGACCTTTGGCGAGGGATTATTTGGGACTGTATCGAAGACTTGGTGTTGACGACATTTCCATCTTCCCCCTCCCCTTCGTCTAATCCCCCTCTTCTTCGTCTGTGCATGATCGGGGACTGACGCATTCTTCCCGTGTGAGCGTCAGCCCCCCTTCACACCATGGAATGATGATGATGCATGTTTGGTCTGCATGGCAGCTTGATTGATCAGATCATTGGCATTTAAGCCTTCCGTTGCGCTATCTTGTATCTGTCTCTTATACACATCTAGATGTGTATAAGAGACAGGACGCATTCTTCCCGTGTGAGCGTCAGCCCCCCTTCACACCATGGAATGATGATGATGCATGTTTGGTCTGCATGGCAGCTTGATTGATCGGATCATTGGCATTTAAGCCTTCCGTTGCGCTATCTTGTATCTGGCGAGAAAGGTCGGTTCTTGGTCTGGTCTGCACCGTTAGGGTATGCAACACCCACTCATTCTCAAAATGCTGGCTGGCCGGACAGCAGCACTGCTGCTGGAGGGCTCGCCGCCGCTAGAGGAGCAGAGTCGGGCAGATTGGGATCCGAGAGGGCGCTGGAAGTAGCTGCCCGGATGCAGCTTGAGGGCGCAGCAGCGGCCATGATAGCCAAGCTGCAGCCCTCATACTAGCCGGAGGAGGTGTGGCAGAGGTCCTTGGGCGAGGGACAGAGCGTAGGGTAGACAAGGTATGCGCGGTGTGCGAGGATGCTTACCTGTTAGGCTGTTGGTGATCTTCATTCACAGGCCGCTTCAGTCGGAGGACGCTGCTGCACTTCATGAAGAAGACCTGTTGTAGTTAGGAAGTCTTAAAAAGAAAAAAGAAAAAAAAAGGAAAAAAAAAAAAAACCTAGTCTAGGTTGATAGGTGCTGTCAAATCTACTTGACCTTTATGAAACGAAGAACCGGGCTTCACTTTTCTGAATGTGCAACCATAGCTGGAATATGGAATTGTAGGTCCGTGTCGGCGGGTGGGCGCTTCGCGCACGCGCGGGGAAGCATCGGTGCTGGTTCGCGGCGTGTCACGGGCTGGCACGCGCAGCGTCCYGACCCCTCTTTTGGGGGTTCCACGTGGGACTCTACGGCCGCCACGTTTTCGCCACGTGGCAACGACGGCCAAGATAGGTAGGGTCGAGTGGGGAGAGCCGACGAACAMCCGAAGTGTGAGAGGAGAGGCTGCGACGATACAAGTGGGAGGGGATCGTGTAGTGGAGGAGGAGATCTAACGAATACGGACAGCGACACAAGAGGTGGACAGACGAGCCAAAAGACACGTGTGGAGGTACGACGCGCGAGGTAGTTAACGATCGGAAAAGAGAGTGCAGCGAAAGTTGTCGACGCAAACAGAGGCATCAACGACTRGTGAGGCGGGAGGTGGACATCGTTGAAAGATTGGACAGTTAACGATCGAAAAGGAGAGTGCAGCGAACGTTGCCGACGCAAACACATGCATCAACGATCGGARGGGGGGAGGTGAACATTGTGGAAAGCTCGGACCGGACGATTGGAAGTGTGTTAGAATTAGAAGCGAGGGAGGTAGCAAAACGATTCGGGCGGTGTGGCACGTGGAGGGCTAAGTGGCAATCAGTAGATGTGAAGGCGAGGGGGCGGTGAGGGGACATGGTGAGGACAGTGGAGAAGGGGAGGGGAGCCACGATAGAAAGAAGGACATAATCAGAGGCGACACTGATCGGCGATCAGGAGGGTGAAGGAGTTTTGGCGGTAGGGAGACAGCGCGAGGACGGAGGTGAAGAGGAGTGGAGTGGCGATAGGAAGGGAGATAGAAATAGATACGAACCGGGCATCGATTGAGCGAAGGGTATGATGACGGGCGGATGGGTGATTGGTGATTGATAATTGACGACGCAAGGCGGTTGGGTGATTGGTGTTTGAAAATTGACGACACAAGGGGAGGACATCGCGCTGGGAACGGGCAGTGGTAAGCAGAACTGACAACGACCAGGGGCGTTGAAGCAGCAAGAGGTGCGCGCCATCCAACTCCCTTTCCCTTTCCTACTTCCCTGAATCCCCCCCTGGGCCATACCCCGCCGAGCCAAAAAAAAAAAAACACACACAAAGAAAAAAACGGAAAAAATACTAAAACACACGTGGCACACAAAAGACAGCAAACCCCAAAATAAAACTCTCAAACTCAACTCAAACACACCCAACACCATGACAGACCRTAGGGGAAGAATCAAGGGGGCGAGCTCCATGATTTTTTTCCAAGGGGCGATGCGACATACACTCGGTAGACAKATCCCCGCCACCCCCTACGAACGACCGTCTTTCAAACTTCCCCCGGTGGGTTCGATGGCCGGTCTCTGCCGGGCCAGCCACCAACAGCATGGCAAACAAGGGACCTGGACAGACGGAACAGACAGAACCCGAAAATYGCCCCCTCYAGACGATCGCGAGATGGAAACAGTGGAACATAACGGAGAGGAAGGGGCAGAGGGGGCTGAGGGGGAGGAGGTGGAAATGTCTTCGACCACTGAAGACGAAATACTGACGGAGGAGGAGAGAAGAGAGGAGAGAAGRGAAGAGGAAGAGAA